GATGAGGGCCTCACGGATTTTGCACGGACTGGGTTTCACACCTGCCATGCAGCGCAAGAAGCTAAAAGACTTCAGTGGAGGCTGGAGGATGAGGGTTGCCCTTGCCAGGTGAGTCCCTCCCTCCTGCCTATCCTCCCTTGAAGCTCCCATCTCTCGGAGTTGAATGCTTACTTCAGTGGGACCATTTGGAACAGAGGCCAGTGGTAAGTAAATGTCAAATGAGACAAACATCAGTGGTGTAGAGTGGGTGGATGGGAGGCTAAAGTGTGAGCCTCCTGGCTGTGATACTCAAGAATTTCTCAGTGTTCAGTGCTGGGTTCCCAGCACAGGATTTAGGAATCCTTGGAGCAGCCCCAGGTAAAATGGTGAAATTAAGTTTTTCTTTCTTTCCTTCTGACTTCCTACCTTTTTTTGTGTGTATGTGCTTCATTCCTGCTAATGATAGCTGGGCGTGGTGGTGCATGGTTATAGTCTCATCTACTGAGGCAGGAGGATTGAGGCTAGCCCAGTCAAAGTTAGGAGACCCTGTATTAAAAACAAAAAAATATAAGCACAAGGGCTGGGGATGTGGTTCAAGTGTTAGAGCCCTTTCCTAGCAAGTATGAGGACCTGGGTTCAATCCCCAGTACCACCAAAACAAGACAAAAACCCCAAAGTGTTAGCTGTTGTGATATTTGACCTTCTTACCTTTTGGAAGCCTGGACTCAAAGTGAGTTTCTGTAGATCAGCACAATTCCAACCCCCAGAATGCCTAGTTATATTACTTTTTCATTACTGTAATGAAACACCTGAGGCTGCATACTTTATAAGCAGAAGGGGTTTATTTTGACTCATGGTTCTGGAGGTTCAAGGCTATGTGGCTGCATCTGGTGATGGACTTGCTGCTTGAGGCCATGTAGCATCATGTAGTGAGAAACAGTGCCCATTTGGGTCTCTTGGCCTTTCCCTCTTCCTTCCTTCCTCCCTCCCTCCCTCCCTCCCTCCCTTTCTTTCTTCCTTCTTTCTTTTCTTCCTTTCTTCCTTTCCTTCCTTTTCTTTTTCTTTCTTTCTTTCCTTTTCTTCCTTTCTTTCCTTCCTTCTTCCCTTCCTTCCCTTCCTTCCCTTCCTTTCCTCCCTCTTTCTCTTCTCTCTCTCTCCCACTCTCTCTCCCCCTCCCTCTCTCCCTCCCTCCCCTTCCTTTCCTTCCTTTTTCTTTCTTTCATCCATCCACCTATTATCTATCTATTTATGGTGTTTCAAGGCAGGTCTTGCTGTGTAGCCCAGGCTGGCCTTGACTCACTGTCCTCCTGCCTCAGCCTCCCATACTGGGATTACAGGTATGAACCACCACACCTCGCTTGCTCCCTCTCTCTCTTTTTTTTTTTTTTTTATAATTTATTTTTTAAATTTTTATTTATTTATTCACTGTGGTGCTAGGGATCAAACCCAGGGCCTTGTGCATGCTAGGCAAGTACTCTTCCACTGAGCCATATCCCCAGCCCCTCTCCCTCTCTTTATAAAGCCAACAGTATTCACTCGTGGGCTTTACTCCAATGATCTTATCTTATCCTTGTCACCCCCAAAAGTACCACCTCTAAACACCATGCTCAGATTACATTTCTGCCCTCTTAAATGCCTAACACTTGGAGTCCTCTCTGACATGAGTTTCAGAAGAGACAAACTGCATTCAAATCATAGCACTTGTTAAATAGATGCTTCCTTACCTCACCATTCTCTGCAAAGTGAGGTGCCTCATTAGAAGAGCTGCTTGTGGGAGTCTCAGAGCCCCGCCATGTGCTCACAGTGCTAAGTATACATTGCCAGGCTGCTTGGGTTCACTCAGGAGCTTTGAGAAAGGTTCTCACCTTGCCTTCAGATTGACGCAGGAAGAATGCTGGAGTTTGTGTCCAGAAATCTTACTTCTAACATGTTCCCCAGCAGTGCTGACTGTAGGTTTGGGAACCAGAATTTTAGTCTGTCCCCGCACTTAACTAGTTTTAAGAAAAGAACATTCTTTGACCTCCTTGCTAGAGGAGGCAACCTCACCAGATTGGTCTAACTTGAGTACTTTTTTCTTCAGCAACTTTTCTATATCCTTCTGTCTTCCTGGTGTTTGTCAGTTATGTTGAACAAGAGTCACAGCTCACAAGGACTTTTTCAGTCTTATCTGCAGATCACATTCCTGTGCTTCTGAGCCCTGTTTTCTATCTAGTTCTCCTTTCTTTCCTCTGATGTGTAGAACCCAGATTGATTTCAGGACTCAAGCCAGGCCTGACCAGCATTCCATATAGCAGGCAAGCCAGTCCCTCTGTTTAGTACTCGTGATACTGAGATACCTCTCTCTCTTTGGTGTCCTTTAGAGCCCTCTTTATTCGGCCCTTCATGCTGCTCCTGGATGAGCCCACCAACCACTTGGACCTAGATGCTTGTGTGTGGTTGGAAGAAGAACTAAAGACGTAAGGGGATGGGGTGGGTGGGGGTGGGAGTGTGCAGATCTCTAAGGGGGGATCAGCAGAGTCCAAAGAAAGTGGGTGCCCAGAAATCACACTGATGGTAGAGCAGTGAGAAAATAGAGCAAAGTAAGGCCAAAATGCTGGAACAGTGCTAAGTGCCCCTAAGGGCTGGTGTTTTTGTATAGTCTGAAATGAGTCTTTTAAAAAAGAACAACAAAACAAAAAAAGACTTGGTTTCTCCCATATTTAAGATATAAAATCCTTACTAAAGACATTATTCTCAAGAGTATATATATACATCTTGTAAATGATCCCATTTACGATCATGATGCAGTGACAAAGAAAGAAAATAGCCAATAAGGTCATGGTCTTTTTATGACTACTGAACTGAATAACCTGTAGTATTGTCTCAGATTTTAGTGACTTAGTACTTCTTTCAAAAAGAAAAGACTTGGGTTTTTATTGCATCTGTTCCATTTCTCCTCACCCACATTTCTGGATACCTTTAGGGATATTTTTTGTGTACACACACATACTTTTTACCATAACCATTGACTACCATCTCTACTCCATTCTGTTAACAGAACAGAAGACTGAGGGGCTCAGGCTATTTCACGGCACTGAAAGGCACCAGAGCCCCTTAAGATAGACTGTACAATTGTAGCCTAAGTACTGGTTGGCAGCTGGGAGTTGCACAATACATCTGAGGGCATTGTGGTATAAGGGTGGGAAAAGATGAAGGTTTCTGGGTCTGGCTGTCAGTTCTCCTGTTAACTGTCTCCAGTTTCGAGTACTTCCCTGATTGGTTCTTTGACTTTGCAGTTTTAAACGCATCCTGGTCCTTGTGTCCCATTCCCAGGACTTCTTAAATGGTGTATGTACCAATATCATCCATATGCACAACAAGAAACTTAAGTATTACACGGTGAGTGGGCTTCATCCTCCTGCACAGTAACTTCCATGCTTAACAGTTTGCTGAAGTTCTCCTTTAAAAAAGAAAAAAACCTAACAGATGTTTTTTTCCCTATTGCTATAAAAAGATATGGACAAGATGTCCTATAGCCTGTTTTATTTTAGTCCCAAAGCCATTGCTGTCCAGACCATAGGTCTGGTGTGTGTTTGGCCTTATGGCAACGAAGTTGACTTCTCTCAGTCTTCAGACTTTTTTCAGTTGAAAAAAATATGAAAAATGAAAGATAGAGCCAGGTATGGTGGTACATTAATGCAACTGTGGCAGGAGGACTGGAAGTTCAAAGTCAGCCTGGGCTACATAGTAAGACCCTGTCTGAAAAAGAAAGAAAAATGAAGCCAGATGCCCATGGCTCATGCCTGTAATCCTAGCTACTCAGGAGGCAGAGATCAGGAGGATCGCCATTCAAAGCCAGCCCAGACAAATGGTTTGGGAGACCCTATCTTGAAAAAACCCATCACAAAAAAAACAGGCTGGTGGAGTTGCTTAGTGTGTTTCATTCACAATCATACTCACTAGAAGTATTAACAGTTTCTTATACAGCCTTTCAGAAATCTGCATACTGCAAACATTTTTAGAAAATTTCATACATTCTTTTGTTTTAATGTTGTGTTTTCTTTTTGGTGGAACTGGAGTTTGAACTTAGGACTTTGCACTTGCAAAGCAGGCTCTCTACTGTTTGAACCACACCTCCAATCCATTTTACTGTGGTTATTTTGGAGAAGGGGACTTGCAAACTGTTTGCCTGGACTGGCATTGAACCATGATCCTCCTGATCTCAGCCTCCCAAGTAGTTAGGATTACAGGTGTGAGCCACTGGTGCCTGGTTCATCGTTATAGTCTTTTAATAATTATTCTATTCTGTAGATTCTTTTTTATTTTTTTTAATTGTTTTATTTTTAATTTTTTTGGTACTGGGGCTTGAACTCAGGGCTTATACCTTGAGCCACTCCACCAGCCCTTTATTCTCAATATAGGGTCTCGTGAACTATTTGCTCTGGCTGGCTTCAAACTGTGATCCTCCTGATCTCTGCCTCCTGAGTAGTTAGGATTACGGGCGTGAGCCATCATCACCCAGCTCCTTTTTAAATTTAATACATCTTGGAACTGCTTTCCAAATGAAAACATTTCATTGCAGAGTATTTCGTTGTATAGGTGTCTTGTAACTTGTTAGACCCCTTTTAACTTGAGTCCAGTTTTTTTGCAGATAGAAACCATGTACAGGGTTTTCCAGGTCTTAAATCAGATTGGTCTGTTTTCCTGTGTGAGACAACTCTTAATAGTTCATGTGGGCCATCTGGGGGTGATGTTGGAGACTGTGAGCCTCATTATGTTGGTATGACAGTGGTGTTTGGGGCTGCTTCCAACAGAGTCTTTCTGGCTATTCTGAGGATTTGTCCTGGAGCCAGGCTTGACTGGGCTGAGTGAGAGGCATGGAATTGGTGAGGATGTGTTTCTTTAATACAGTTCCTTCTAACTACACAGACTTATAGCCAAAGCCAAATCAGTGCTACCCTTCATTCCCTAAACTCCAAATGAGAAGCCAGGACTGAGACCTGGGTTAAAGCTGCCTGCCTTGACTGGTGCTCTTCCCTGCAGGGTAATTACGATCAGTATGTGAAGACTCGGCTGGAGCTTGAGGAGAACCAGATGAAGAGGTTTCACTGGGAGCAAGATCAGATTGCACACATGAAGGTAGGGAGATTGTAGAGCCACACTCATGTTCTCCCATAAGAATCAAGGAGTTGGGGGTGCTGGAGCAGACCAGGAAGAAGTTGTAGTGACTATTTCTTACGAAGAAGTTGTAGTGACTATTTCTTACTTGTTTGACACCTGCACATACTCCAAGTCTGCTTTCTGGTTTCTTTCAGAACTATATTGCTAGGTTTGGTCATGGCAGTGCCAAACTGGCCCGACAGGCTCAGAGCAAGGAGAAGACACTGCAGAAAATGATGGCATCAGGACTGACAGAGAGGGTTGTGAGTGACAAGGTGAGGTCTGATTAGGATGGGCTCAAGTGCCCAAAGGTATAAGGGTTAAGAAAAGCACCAACCTGATAATGCCTCCTTCTGTTCTAGACACTGTCATTTTATTTCCCACCATGTGGCAAGATCCCTCCACCTGTCATTATGGTGCAAAATGTGAGCTTCAAGTATACAAAAGATGGGGTAAGTACAGGCCAGGGCATGTGTGCAAATACCCACGTGTAGCTGAGAAGCAGGGAGCATTTTTCAGGGGCAGTGTTGGCCAGTGGGAGCCTCTTCCATTCTTGCTGACTGTGCCTGCTGACCTGTCCGGGAGGTGGGATTTTCAGGAGTTGGAGACTCATCCGGGGGCCTCAGCACTAGCCCTTTGAACACCTGAGAGGGAAACTGTTCATCTGGGTTGGTGAGTGGAGATAGTGGGTTGGAGTCAGCTCTAAGAGTGCTTCTTAGCACCTTTGGTGACTGGCACTCCACGGGGTTGGTTTCCCAGGTGACAAGATCCAATCTCTATTCTGTGTCCCTATCTCTCTTATACCCACTTCAGCCTTGCATCTACAATAATCTAGAATTTGGTATTGACCTGGACACTCGGGTGGCTCTGGTAGGGCCCAACGGAGCAGGGAAGTCCACACTTTTGAAGCTGCTAACTGGCGAGGTATGGTGCTGAGGTACAATGTTGCCATTTCTAAGAGAAGACATTTCTTTTTAAGGAAGAGAGGGAAGTTACACAGGGGGCCTCTACTTTTGGAGTCCCGGGTACTCTGTTAGTGAGCAACCTGGAGGGGTGGGCATTGGGTAGGAAAGCAAATGGGAATGTATGCATGTGTCTCAGCACTTCTTTGATTTCAGTCTGTATTTAGGACAGAGGAATATCTGTACATTTGGAGATATGTTTCTCTTGAAAATGTATGTTGTGCCTACTCCAGGACCTTTGTTACTCAGTATAGTGCATTGTACAGTAGACATTTGATGACTACTTAATAAATTATGTTGTGTATCTTTGCCTCCCTTGAGAACATCTACTTCAATATATCTTCCAAATAGTTTACAGTCACCAGAATAACAGTCTGTGAGTTAGTAGATTCTGTTTAGGAAGTGTATGAACGTTGTTTACTGTGAAGTGTTTGTTTCCTATTTTGCATGTGTTTGCTTCTGTCCAGGTTTCCTTTTTTGTTTGCTTACATTTCTGTTTCCACTTATTACTCTTTTCTTCCTAGCTGCTACCCACAGATGGAATGATCCGAAAGCACTCTCATGTCAAGATAGGGCGTTACCATCAGGTACAGGCCTGCAGTCAGGGTTAGGGTGAAAGATGTTGCCCAGTGGGGAGGAAGGGTTGCAACTGCTGAAGCCCATCCACTGAGGAATGCCAACCTGTTCAGCTCCTACCTGCTTCTTAGATCTTGAGCAGGTGCCTGAGTAGAGGTGGGAAGTTGCCTAGCAGGTAGCTTGCGGGCTTCTTCTGGAGCAGGCTCCCCTGACACCTGGTGACCCCACTCCCTGCAGCATTTACAGGAGCAACTAGACTTGGATCTTTCACCTTTGGAGTACATGATGAAGTGCTACCCAGAGATCAAGGAGAAGGAGGAGATGAGGAAGATCATTGGGCGGTATGGCCTCACTGGGAAACAACAGGTTAGTAAAGGAGGGTAGAAGGACCCAAGAAAATGAAGAGACCATGACTGGATGGTTGGAGGACACTTTCTTGGAAGTTATCTCAGAGTCTCGTTCATTCTAACCCCTGAGAGAGCCTACCACTTTTCCCTAGATTGTTATGTTATGGAGTTTTTAGTTGTCATTATGTGGCTGGGGATAAGGATAGTGAGCTGGTCTCTGACCTTCCTTTGTGCCAGAATGTTTGAGGGCAAGGGAATGTGCAACCTAGAGAACATGTCCTGGATCCAGACCTGGAACTGAGGATCCACTAGATTGCTTCAATTCATTGGGACTTAAGTGTCAGGAGAACAAGAGGTATGGACTTGGCAGTGGCAAAGTGGTCAGGTTCCCAGCGTCCTTATCAGGCCTCAAGACCAGAGGCTGGGTCACTGTCTTACCATGTGATCTTGGAGCTTTCTGAGCCTTGCTTTTTGTAAAAATCCAATAATAGTAATGAAGGAGTCAAGCAGAGAGAGGAGTCATGCTGTGTGGTGGGTATAACACCAACTCCCGTGTGTGTCATGGTTCCTCTCAGGTGAGCCCAATCCGGAACCTGTCAGATGGGCAGAAGTGCCGAGTGTGTCTAGCCTGGCTGGCCTGGCAGAACCCCCACATGCTCTTCCTAGACGAGCCTACCAATCATCTGGACATCGAGACCATCGATGCACTGGCAGATGCCATCAATGAGTTTGAGGGTGGTATGATGCTTGTCAGCCATGACTTCAGACTCATTCAGCAGGTGAGGCCCTTTGCTGTGGCCTTAGGCACAGCACAGAGCATCTGTGTTGAAGGTTGGGTGGACATGAAAAGCACTGAATTCAGAGAAGGGGCTTAGGCTCACATGGCAAGGTAAGGACCAGATCTTATGGCTCTTTGGGGATGCTTGTAGACTTGGTATTTTTGGCGCAGATGGAGGAGGGAGTTGGGCTTTTACTACTGTCACAGAATTCTTCAGTCCAAGCATAGTATTCTAGTAAGAAGAAATTGGATTAGGAAAAGGCTGCCACCAGTCATTGGAGAAAAAGCTACTGGTCATTTCTGAAGCTTTGGAGAATATGGGGTAGAAAAAGAAGCTGTGTGTGAAGCCTCTAATCAGATCTAGACCCTGCTAGGGACCTGACAGTAGAGGTGACACAGTAGTTCCTGGCTTGGAAGATTGCAGAACCTATTGGTTATGGTTCCCTGGGATCAGACATCCCAAAGAACATAGAGGTAGTGAAAGAATGAGCTGGATGTGGGTTTGGGTAAGGGCTTGTGGGAGAGAGTGGCATTTTCCATCTGGAAGCCCCAGTCCAACATTGGAGGTGGTAAGGGTGGGGAGGTGGACTAGCCAGATTCAGTCCAGGATCTGCTTTCCAGGTTGCACAGGAAATTTGGGTCTGTGAGAAGCAGACAATCACCAAGTGGCCTGGAGACATCCTGGCCTACAAGGAACACCTGAAGTCCAAGCTGGTAGATGAGGAGCCCCAGCTCACCAAGAGGACCCACAATGTGTGAACCTTCAGCCAGACTTGGGTCAGGACCACCACTGGGGACTGCCAGCTGCCACCTGACCAACTGCTCAGGACAGGACCCTGGGGCTGCACTCCCGCATTGCTGCAATACTGCCCCCAGCCTCTCCCCGCCTCAGCCTGCCTTTGCTGCACTCTGTTACCTTAACTACAGCTGGACAGCGCCTGTCTATTTCTCATCCTCCTTCCAATTCCATCTGTCCATGTCTGGACTCAGCTGGCTGTTCCTTCCAGCCCCTTGCCGGTTACCTTGCCATGAGAGAGCTGCAGCAGAGGTACCTGGGTCAGCCCCAGGGCCCATGCTCTGGATCTGGCCTGTGACGGAGTTTAAGAGCCTCATTTCCTGGGTTTTGGTGATGTTGGAGGAATACTTCCCAGACCACCACCCTCATTCCTTTTTGCTTCCAGTTTGGAGCTCTGGACCAGGATCTTAGTTCTGGTCAGTTTTTAAATAGTTATTTAAGAGTGTAACTTTTAGACCTGCGTGACATCTACAAAGCGTCCAATAAAGAAAGAGGAAGCCACAGTCTCTTCCTTTTTGGGGCCTTTTCCCCCTCCTCCCTGCAGTACCTGATTGACTAGTCTGTAGGTGCTAGAAGAACGTCTCCTTCTACTGCTTTGGATTTTGCCTTTTCTTAGGCCTGTGGTTTACAAACTCAGAGTCTGCTGAAGGTTCTTCAGGTCACAGAAGAGTCTCTGGGTCAGTAGGTCTGGGTGCAGCTAAGAGTCAACATTTCTAACGAGTTCCCTGGTGATGTGGATGCTGATGTTGCAAGTCTAGAGGGCTACACTTTGAGAAGCACTGTCCTAAAGCACGTTTCACAGACACCTGCACCACCCCATGTGAGGCACTTGTTAAAAATGCAGATTCCTGAGCTCCAGACCTGTTGGTTGTATATGTTGGAGTGAGTGAGAGGCAGAAATTTTCGGGGATCTATATTGCCTGCTGTTTCTGATGTGATACGGGAATTTTTACTGTCTAACCTGTCCATAGCCTCTATTTACGTCAGCTGTATCAGGCTTATCTTTAGCCTAGGGTTCTGTGCAGCCTGGCTGATTTGAAATTGTAGTCTTTGTACCACTAGCAAACCCATGACCAACCTTACCATGTGCTCTCACTCTACCTCTGAAGCCTCAGCAGCCATCCTTGTGAAAAGACACATTACTTTATCTAAGCTGGGGGAAAAACTCCCAGAGGGTGTCTAAACCCCCAAGGAGCTCACAATCGAGTGGGAGAGCCAACAAGATTCAGAAAGGACATAAATCAGATGCTAAATTATGATTTAGATGGGCAACTCAGAAGTATTCAAAAGGAAGGGAGTTTTCTTGAGCAAGCTGCCCAGGAAGGCAAACTTGGTGCTATAATTTGATAGATGAGTAGGGTCTTCTCAGATGGCCATGGGAGTCCCAAGAGCTGCCCTAGGCAAAGGGACGGAGAGCATCCAGGACAGCTGGGACTGACAGGTGTCATTTGCTCCACTGTGGCTTCAGTGGTCTGGCTTGGCTCTTTGTGCCACAAACTGGGCTGAGAGCAAAATGGCCTAAGTCCATCTGTTCTGAATATCCAGAGCCTTGTTTTGGAGGAGCGTGGTATCTGGAGAGCTAACTGTGGATCCTGCCAAGGGAGTGCCTGTGTGTCATTAACTTAGAGTCACCTGGGCACTGATGCATATGCTTAAAATCCTAGCTACTGAGATGGGGAGGACCGAGGTTTAAGCTCAGCCTGTGCAAATTGTTTATGAGGCCCCATTTCCAAAATAACAACAACAAAATGGACTAGAGCACCTGTTTTGCAAACACAAAGCCCTGAGTTCAAACCCCAGTCCCACCAAAAAACAAAACTCAAAGTCTGGGCTGGGGCACAGTGACCCACACCTGTAATCCTAGCTAATCAGGAGGCAGAGATCAGAGGCCTGAAGTCCAAGGCCAGTCCAGGCAAAAAACAAAAGACTGGGCATGATGGTGTAGCTCCTCCTACACACTGGTATAAATAGGAGGACCTAGGTACCAGGCAGGCCTGGGCCAAAAGGTGGATCCTACCTGAAAAATAACTAAAAGTAAAAAGGGCTGGGGGAGTGGCTCAAGCTGTAGAGTGCCTGCCTAGCAAAGCATGAGGCCCTGAGTTCAAGAAACCCCAGTATTGCCAAAAAAATTACTTTGCAGAGCACCAGTGGCTCATGCTTGTAATCCTAGTGACTCAGGAGGCAGAGATAAGGAGGATTGAGGTTTGAAGCCAGCCTGGATAAATAGTTCTCAAGACCCCATCTCAAAAATACCCAACACAAAAAAGGGGTTGTGGAGTGGCTCAAGTGATAGAGTGCCTGCCTGAATTCAGTGCAAGGCCCTGAATTCAAACCCCAGTGCCACCACAAAAAAGTGTGTGTGGTGGGGGGTGGATGTGGCACAAGTGGTACGGTGCCTGCCTTGCAAGCATGAGACCCTGAGTTTAAGCTCCAGTCTCACTGGGGGTGTGGGGGAACCTTAAGTCTGTTGAGATCTCCAGAGTAGGGTATCTTTATAGTAATAGTAGTCTAGTCAGCATATCTGCCTTAAAAAAGCAGTCTTGACTATTTTAATGCTTAGAAAGTCCACATATTATATATTTCTAAAATTAGCAGTGCCTTGTTTTAGATTGAAAGCTGGCCTCCCTGCCCTCTTGAAGCAAACCTTAGTATTTTCAATGTCACTGGGTGTTGGGAACTGGGTGGTGACTGCTTTCACACACTGGCAGGTGGTGCTTGTTTCTGGCTCTCTTCCCACCTGTTCCTGATTTGGAATATTCTCTTTCCTCCCCAAGTCTGTACTTTTCATGCTGCTCCAGGTTTCTTTAATCACAGCATTGAAGTACCTGAAATATTTGTAATGCTGAGACAAACCTCCATTTCACAATGGCCTTTTTTTTTTTTTTTTTTGCAGCTAACTCACCTGGACCCCCACATCACCTGCTTTCAGAGAGCGCTTCCATTGTCTGTGCCCCTAGCTGCCTCTAGTCCCTCCATGTTGAAAGCAGCCTATGGTGCTTTCCTGCTGTCTGTCTAGTACAAGCTAAGCTGGTCTGCTCTGTCTTCTGCCTTCAGTCCAAGCCTCTGCACAGGGATTTCTTACTTTTCACCCTCTTCCCTCGTTCTTTCCAGTTGAGTCATAGCCCATCCTGCAGAACTAGCACTGAATCCCATTTAGCTGCATGACACTGCCCTGGTCGCTCTGGCCCCATTATCCACACACTTCCCTAATTGTTGGATTCCAGCCAGCTGTGGTCCTCCAGCCTCCTCCAGGGCCCTGTGTGGAGAGGGAGCCTGTGATCCTACAACCACAGAGCCATTTTGAATACTGCATGCTCTGTGACTGGAATAGGGTGGACTTAAACCAAATTCAACTGGAGGTGGGGTGGGAAGGGTATCCAAGATGAAATTTCTTGAGGGAGAGGAGGTTGCAATTAGTCCCAATATTAACCTAGAGCATGTTCTAGATAGGGTTGCGCTAAGCCCCACCCCCCCACCCCTCCATCGCAGGTGCTCACCCCTAGCCACACCTGGCAGAGTAGCTGCCTTCCTAAAGGCCCTCCAAGGTGTGGGAGGGGCCTGCCAGCAGGACGATGAGTGCAGAGCGTGGACAGCAACAGCAGCCGCAGTCTAGGGGTCGCAGGGGCCGGAGCTCTGGAGGCAAAACGTCCAAAAGGCATAGCCAGCGCAAAGAACCCTACTCGATGTATATCTACAAGGTGCTGAAGCAGGTGAGGAGGTGTGCGGGCTGCACTGCAAAGCGCCCCGAAAGGGTGCTGGACTGGAGGCTGGGACTTGGCTTAGTACTGGCTCTGGGGCAAATGGCCTCAGGTACGCTGTGTCTCTCCAGGTGACTGGACCTTGCCTCAGGTTTTTCGCCTCTTAGCATCTTGTTCACCTGTGATAGGAAATACTTGTTTGTTGCGATATCCAGGGCCTCTCACTCAGGAGGCAAGCATTTTACCACTTGAGCCACGCCCCCAGCCCTTTTGTTTGTATCATTTGAGATAGGTTCTGACTAACTTTGCCAGTCTGACCTTGAACTGTTGATCCTCCTGTGGCTGCCTCCCAAATAGCTGGGATTACAAGTATGAATCACAATGCCTGGTTGGCAGGAAACATTTAAAGTGTGCTCCCACCACTTTCCCAGGATTTTAGGGCTTTTGAACAGATTAGATAATTGTGGAACATTGATTTGGCCCTAGGCTGAGGGTGATCCAGTGTTAAAAGAGTACATGACTAAGAAGAGGGGCGATTCGTGGACTAGGGCTGCAGTGAAGGCCTGAACAGGTGGCCCTGGCCCTTTGAGGCTTAGGGTTTGCTTACCTTATAGATGAAGATCCCAAAGCCCATAAAGACTCCATGGGATACACAAGCTCATGACCTGATAGTCAGCATATGACTCTTGCTCCATACAAGCCCCTGGTATCCTTCCTGCATGGCCTTCCTGCTGACACCTGCTGTAGTTGACCATCGTTGATGCATGAGAAGCAGGCCTCCTTGGACTTGGCACCTTGATGGGCACTGGGGCACACCAATGCATACCACAAGCCACTGTCTGGAGAAGTCAAGGCAGCCTGGCCTCACCTCAAAGCCACCAAGCCTGTTTGGCAGAGCCCAGAGAGGCACAGATGGGGCTGTGTTGGCTGTGCTGGGGTTCTCACACCTGCCTAAAATTCTTGCCCATCTGGTGGATTAGGTCCCAGAAGTGGAGCCTGTGTCCAGTATGAAGCCCATAAGCAGTTTTAGTGAGTTGACACCCTTGGTGTATGGGATGATGGGGGAGGGGGTGTGTACTGCCATGGATTGTCCAGAAAGGAACCAACAGGCCATGCCCTGAAGAAGAGTGGGGTGCTGTTACTGAGCCCTGAGGCTTAGCCCAACTTTGGGGCTCAAAAACTGAGACCAAAAAATAAAAAAGCAAAATTGTGAGTCCAAGCATGGATTCAGAGAGTAGAGGGCAGCTGGTACTGGCCCCGCTGTTACCACTCACTGAGTGACAGGTAACACCCAGGCAGCCCTAAGAACGGATGTGGTGATGACATAGGATGGGCTACCCCAATCTTGAACAGCTCCAGACTTCACTGCCAGTGGTAACTAGGGGCAGGGAGAGAGCAGGTGGCTTGGTGTCAGGAGTCCAGCTTCTTGTGGATTCCCTGCTGGCTTGGGGCAAGCTATAGGCAGTCACTTCTCTCCCACTTCATATCTGACTCACATCTTAGGTTGTCGGCAGGTTCCTATGAATCATTTTACCAGAGATCTTGTTCAAAGGCTTGTGTGACAGGAGAGGAAACAGACCTGGAGGAATGTGCCTTATTCAAGGTCGTGGTGATTCATGGTCAGCCTAGATCACAGGTCTCCTACCTCTCAGTCTGGTGCCACTGTGACTGTCATACAGATGTGCTCACTGGAGAATTACTTGGTAACTACAGATTAAGTGTACAAACCATTCAACCAGGAAATCCTTCCTCTGTGACCTTCACCCCTAAGAATAACCTTTATTCTCATACAGGGTTCTAGGACACGTTTTTTATAATATAAATCTAACAACAAATTCCAAAATACTGACTCATCCACACCACGGATCACTGTGCGGCTGTATTAGAGGCTGAAACAAGATGCTTTAACTTATCCCACTTGTTAAATACAGATGCTCACATGTGGTTCTCCAAGGAACTTCAGAGTGTTACTTAGCAGGTGGACAAACTGATTTTTTTCTTTTTAAAATTGGATGTACAGTCATGTGTCACTGAACAACAGATACATTCTGAGAAATTCATCATTGACTAATTTTTGTCCTCATGTGAATGTCAGAGTATATGAGCTCAGACTAAGATAGCAATGACAGTATGATCTTATGGGACCACCATCACTGTGTATGTGCTCCATTGTCAAAAACATCATTGCAGCACATGACTAGCAGTGAAAAGAATACACAGGATCCTATTTCCCTGACGAGGCATCTGGGATGAGGCTGCTAAGGAGACCTGGGCTCCTGCTTCTGGTCTAGAACCCCATTTCAGGTGGAGCCAAAACGGGTACAGGCAGAGCCCCCGTTAACATAGTGGTCCTGCTGCTTCTCCAGGTGCACCCCGACATCAGCATCTCTGCCAAGGCCATGAGCATCATGAACTCGTTTGTGAACGATATCTTTGAGCGGCTAGCAGGTGAGGCCGCCAGGCTGGCCCAGTACTCGGGCCGAAGCACTCTGACTTCCCGGGAAGTTCAGACAGCCGTACGTCTGCTGCTGCCTGGGGAGCTGGCCAAGCATGCTGTGTCAGAGGGCACCAAAGCCGTCACCAAGTACACCAGCTCCAAGTAACCTGCCATTTAGGGTGTGCCATAAATAAAGAGTGACCTGTTCCTGCACACTGTGACGATTTAAAAAGAGGATGTGTGAAGTGAGAGTGTGGTCTGGGGTAAGAGTGTCCTTACTTTTTGAGTCTACCACAAGTAGAGTCATAGCACATTTTTTAAAAACTTCTCTCTGGTGCATCCTGTGGTGACAGGTGGCTTTGTAAGTGTACAACGATTCTAACTGGCAGTGTGAGCTGAAGCACGCTGGGACTGGGACCAGAGAACTGCTCTTATCCCAGTTGTCTTCCTCTCTGGGTCTGGAATTCTTTGGGTGTGCTGCTTTCAGGGTGTGGATTTGTGATTCCATCTCCCAACCATATCATCACCCACTGTGTCACAGGCTGGGAGAAGGAACAATGCACATCTGTTCTTCAAAATACAAAAACTGGGGCCGGGATGTTGCTCAGTGGTACAGCGTTTGCCTAGCATGCAGGAGGCCCTGGGTTTGATCCTAGCACCAGAAAAAGAAAAGACAAAAAATAATAATAATACAAAAACTGTAAGTCAGACCTGTTTTTAACTAACCTGCTGAGATCAGTAGGATTTTCCCCCTTGCTCTTTAATTTCAGAACTAATAACTGGGAATGTTTTTGAGATTCCTAGATATTCTTTTGAAAAATTTGAAACTCAGAAAACTTGCAAGTGCAGCAGTCACTCATCAGTCCTTCACCTGGATTTCCTCCTTGCCATTTGACCACATGTGTTCTCTCTCATTCCGCTTCTGCCCTATTCTGAGCACCTGAGACCTATCAGTCTCTAAGTTCGGAGACGGTGGAGCAAAGGTGTGGGATTTGGACAAATCTAAAATCCATCTGAATGCTACCTTTGTGATTGCTTAGACTTGGCTCATTGTCTTCAACTTTGTGTATGTTAGATTACCACCCTGTGATGATGGCTGACACCTGGCTGCAGCACCACACACACTTCATGGGTATTTGCTCACATCTCAGTCTCAATAACGAGATTCCATGAGCTGAGAATTCATGAGCCACATTTGGGTCCTCTGGGTCCAAAGGGGATCCTGACCCAGGAGTTCTGGCCCATGAGCCTCACTCTTCCCCACGTCACCACTCTTTGCCACTGGACCAGCAGTATCCATATCACATGGGAGCTCATGAAGAATGTGGCTTGCTTGGGCTCCATCTCTGCTCAGGAATGGAGTCTGCATTTTAACAAGATCCTTCAGGAATTGGTCTGCACATTCAAGTGTGAGAATTCCTCTTTTGCTCCTTCTTGCTGCTGCCTCTCTTCTCGTTGCTTTCCTTGGCCTTGTTCCTCTATCTACCCTTAACACTGAGCCAAAAAGATGACCCCCCCCCAGCTGAATAGAATCAGACTACTGCTAGTCTAATGTTTTGTATTTTCTGAAGAATGATCTCTTGAGCCTGTAGCCGTGTGGACTCCCCATAGATGTTGGCCAACAAGCCCCAAACACCAGAAAGTGGTGGTGGTGTAGTGACATCCATACATGCGCTAACACAATCCTCTACAAGTGTTGAGTTCACTGATCCCAGTGAGGGAGTCTGATTGTGCTCACAATCACACAAAGATGGGGGCGGGGGGTAGAGAATTGGGACCAAATCCAGCACCTTTTCCCCCTCTCATCACACAGGTCTCACAAGGCGAGAGCTGGGGATGCAGCTTGTCAGCTTGTCATGCACATGAGGCCCTGGGTTCCATCCCCAGCACCCCACACACACCAAAAAAAAAAAAAGTGAAGGCTGAGTAGGAAGCTGAGGAGTTGAACACGGTGTGTACCTGTAGATGCTGTTACTTCAGAGGCTAAACTAAGACTCGTAGTTTGAAACCAGCAACATAGCAAAACTCCATCTCAGTAAATAAATAAATAAATAAGCTAAGTTAAGGACAGCAAATTTCCTCTGGATGAGAAGACCCAGTTGGAATAATGCCTTTAGGACAAATATTTATCCAGAGATTCACTGTTTACAGGTGACTTCAAATAGAGGCTTCCATTTATTTGATGATCTCAAGCAAAGTAGCCACAGTGGTCCCATACTCTGCCCTAACCCTACTGCAGCCATTGCCCACGCTCCCTCCGGGAGTGTTCTAGACAAGTGTCCTCCATCCTGCACTCTCCCAGCCCCTCCCTTAGCCTTAGAACATAGATACAATGGGTCAGAACTCTTAAAACCAGGCTGTTCTGCCCCTGGCTTTGGGGGGGAACCACAGAGCTGTGTGTTCCATGACCAGCTCAAAAGGGCAGTGTGGGGAGCAGGCACCATGTCTGAAGGGTAAGTGAGGGCTGGTGGGGGCACCCCTTGGGCTGGGAGAGCAAGGAGCAAAGCACCTGACTGGCCCTGAGAGGCTGGGGACAGAGAGGGGATTTGGGTGCTGGCTGGACACCTGGCCACCTCTGCCTGTGGCCAGCTTTCCCTTTAGACATCTCTACTCTTATCCCTCACTCCTACTCCCCACCCACCACCCCAGCCATTACAGCATGGATGGGTTGCACCCTCACCTATAGAGCCTCACCGTCACCTTGATCCAAAAGGTCACTTCCTTACGGGAGCAGCCAGCGCATCTGACTCCTTCCCAAACGCTGTTCGTTATGCTCTTTACTAACCATCAGGTGCCTTAAAACCCCAATCTCACACCTTTCCTGAGCCAGGTGGGTGCCCACTCATTCCTGGCTGGCCCTTACCTCCCTCGAGTCCACCTTGGCACCTTTTGCAGTCCAAGTTCAAAATCTTCCAAAAGCTGCAGCTCCTGTCTCCTCAACCCACTGTCCCTTCTCTGAGGTTCAGAGCAGTGTGCACTGCCTCCTCCAGGGCTTACCAATGCCTCTGGGCGGCCTCCCACGTGACCCTGCAAGAGCTCTTAGACCAAGAGCAGCCCCTGCTGGAACCCGTGCCCAGCCAGGACCGGCAGTCCTTCCAGTACAAGATCTCCATGCTCTACCTGCACTACCTGGAGCTGTTGCGACAATTCGACACCATCTATGACCAGATGGTGCAGCCACAGAAGCGCCGGCTGCTGCAGCGCCTACTGAACGGCGTCGTGGGCCGAGTGTTGGAGCTCAAGGATGAGCTGGTGCGGGTCGACCTGTGTGAGACCCACTGCCTGGATCGTGTGCTGCAGGATCTCAAGATGACACCGGTGCGAGCGGTGTGCACACAGTTACCCTCGGGGTGGGGGTGGGGGCAGGAAGGACTGCACTGGCCTCCACCTCCCGAGTCACAGAATCACTCCCCAGACATGGGGTGGGGGTGGGACTGGCCTTGACCTCCCAAGGAAATCACTGGCATTGAGACATCTGCAAGGGAAGGAAAGCCAGGAATGGTGGGAGGATGGAGTCAGAAGGGCTGCAGGATTTAAGGATGCCTGGAGAATCAGCATCCCTGCCTCTGCTCTGGGAAGACTCAGCCGTGGGAGGTGACTGAGGAAAGTACTCTGAGGCTTGCATCTCAAAGTCTGATCCCTGAACCAGCAGCATGGGTGTCACCTAGGAGTTTGTTGGAAATGTAGACTCTCTAACTGCGCCCCAGACCCATTAAACCTGCACCTACCTTTTTGCAACACCCCTGGGTGATCTGTGTGCATGGGCAAGTTCTGGAAGCTGTTCCAAAGCACAGAACAACTTTGGGGCCTCTAGTCCTGCCCCCAAGGCAATCACTGCTCCATAGCCAAGGCTGTCTCAAAGTTTTCCCGATCAGCTAAAGTGCTGGACTTAGAAAAAAAATTGTCTTCCCCAGGTCCTGCATTCTGCTATGGGTATCCAGGAAGGGCCTGGGGGTTACATATTAAAAACTTCCCTGTTGATTCTGAGGCACAGCCAGGACTAGGACTATTGCCATCCACCATGGTCTTCCAGAACTCAACTCAGCCAAATGCAGGGCAAGAAAAGGATGATCCTAGCCAGGCGCTGATAGTTCACGCCTGGAATCCTAGCTACTCAGGAGGCAGAGATCAGAAGGATCATGGTTCGAAGCCAGCCTGGCAAATAGTTTGCCAGACCCTATCTTGAAAAGCCCTTCACAAAAATAGGGCTGGTGGAGTGGCTCAAGGTGAAGGCTCTGAATTCAAGCCCCAGTACCAAAAGAAAAGGATGAGCTTTGGGGGGAGTTCACCCCGTAACCTGTAACCCAGGTTGTAGGAGAGAGAAAAACAGTGCTAGAGAGTGTGTAAGTAGCTGAAAATGGCAGTTTGCTGGCCAGATGTCCAGGACTTCTGATTCCTGACCCTCCTTCCTCCATACTGCCCTAAAGGCAAACCTGGAGGTTCCAATCCCTAAGTACTTTCAGCTGGAGCAGTCCAGTGCCGTGAAGGAGCGTGAGGTGATGCTGGCTGAGATCCTGTCCAGATTGGAGCCAGTGTCCTCCCAGGAGGTAAGTGAGAGACACTTCCTCGTCTGCTTCCACATCCCCTGTCCTGGGACAGAGCAGCCCTGCCCTATTCCACTTCAGTGTGCGCTTTGGGCAACCACAGCCTCCTTCAGGCTACTCTTGTACTTCCTGCAAGAGCACAGAACGTGGAGCCCCCAGAGGACCATGCCCCGGCCATTCTTTGGTGACTGGCCTCCCGGGTACCCACAATGGATGTGAGCTTTCCCTTACATCCTCCTCTTTTGCCCTGCTCTGGCTAGGGCTTTCCAGAGATGCCCCGGACTGAGGCCATAATTCTAGTACAGAGTGCTGAGCGGGCCAGGCAAGGCCGGCTCCGAGCCACCCTCATGCGAGAGATTCGGAAAGAGGAGGAGCGGGATCAGAGGATCCGGGAGGATGGGCGGCACAGGTTCAGTTCTGACCAGGGAGCTGTCATCATACAGAAGGTAACCTGGGCACCCTGGGAGGAGTGCCAGGGTAGAGCTTCCTCCTCCAGGAAGTCCGTGGGGCTCAACAGCTAATCACAGGAGTGCAGGTGCCTGGATTCTGTTGTCCCACAGCTAGACTCTGAACTGGGGACCTTAGTGAGAAAGGGCACTCAAGTGTCTCAGGCTGGAAGTGGCTGTGCAACTGGGAGAGCACACTGGTCCAGTTTGTGGACTTGGCCTGAGAGAGGTCATGTCCCATGTCTGGCCCAGTTCCCTGGGGTGCAAACAGCATGATTTTAACTAGAGCAGCTACACAGTGTCTACAGCAGTAATGTCCGTGTCCTTGGGTGAATCAAATATTTATTTCAATTGCTATGGGAATCCTGAGAAAAGAAAGTGAACGATGCTCCCTGGAGGAAGTGCTCAAACTCTAACCTGTGCTTCAAAGGGCAGCAGATTAGGATAGGGATGGGAAGGAACGCCTGGAGGGCGTACCTCCCACTTCTGAGCTGTTCCTGCTCAGTGTGCGCCTTCAAGACGCTCTGGCCTCCAGCCCTGGGAGGCCATGCCTCCCAGAGTGCCTCCCATCCCTTGGTCTGAGCCAGGCCCTGCAATATTTGGTGCGCAGAGCATCTAAACGCCTCATATCCCTGTCCCCAGGTGTGGAAAGGTTACCAGCAGAGGAAGCGCGTCAAGCAGGATCGCCGCACCGAGATGGAGTTCATCGGCATGGTGAGCCCTCCCTGGTCTTCATCTTCTGTGTCCCTGCCCCAGGGCACAGCCTCCTGTAGTCCTGCCCCTCCACATAGGCAGGGCAGGAGATCCTTGGCCAGAAAGACATGTAAGGACAGGAAAGCCACCAAGCCACGTCCCCTCCCAACCCGTCCTTCTCTAGAGCCCCTTGAAGGACCTCCAATGTCAGGGGACAACAGCACAGGGTATCCTGGACCCCTTATCCTTGCCCCAGCCAGAAAGAGAGGCTGCAAGGGTGGGCCCAGGAGAAGGAGGAGGAGGCTTCATGGCTAGCAGGAGCACCGCACCGTGCGGGGACACCCATTTGACCAACCATTCGTCTATCTAACCGCCCATCTACCCACCTGCCCATCTATCTGACCAAGAACCAACCATCTCTCTCTCTGACCATCTTATATCCACTATATCCTGGTGGACACCAGGACTTTTCAGGCCACAAACTTCCCTTCTCCCCCATTTCCTAAAGCCAAGACTCCTTCTTCTCTGCTCTGCCAGAGGCATGGTGCAATGGGAGAGCGCGGTGGAGGGACACAGGCCCCTGTGTGCATGTGAATATGTGTGTGTGTGTGCTGGGGAGGGGGTGTTGAGCAGCAGGGCCTTTCCCCGAATCCATCCCAGCTCCCTCATCCATGTGGTTTTCACTGACTAAAGGCTGGCCCTGGAAGGAGTGAGGGTCACACTGTGGGGAGAGGGGCTTTGCCCTGAGTAGGTCCTGGCTACAGATGGAGCTGGAGAGGGACCAGGCCCAGGCCAGAGGGATTGGAGGGAAGCTTTCCCAGGGGAGAAGGATGGCTCCTTGGCAGGGTGGGATGGCTACCAGGGGGCTGCCATGTGGAAACAGAGGTCAGAGACTTGGGGGCTGGAGAGCTGGACCCCCAGGAGAGAGAGCAGGTGGGGGTGGGGGAGGCGGGGTCAGCCTTGGTGGGGAGAGGGTGGGGGCATGGCAGTGGGTGAGGAATGAGCCTGGTCGCCCGGGCCCATCAACAGTGTGAGCTCAGCGTTTTCAGTAATTGTCTCTGCTCAGAGTGATATTTAAAATACATTTGGGAGCCAATGAGGCGGGAAAGTGGCTGTGAGAGCGGCTGCCAACTCGGCCGCCGGGTGGGGCGTGCATGGGGGCTGGGACTGGAGGCTCACAGGGGAGGGTGTGCTGGGGGGAGCGGGCAGGGGGGCTAGCCCGGATGCTTCTAGCAAACTCATTATCAGGGTAATTTACACAGACGAATTTCGGTTCCAAACACAATTTCTCCTGATGCAGGCATGCCCGTTGTTCCGTGCGGGTGTGTGCACGAGAATGGGCGTGTGCGGGTGTTGGAGGATGAGTGGGGGCACGTGTGTGACTACACCAGAGCCTGGGTCCTCCCATGCCCGCTCCTGAGCCCCTTGGCCTCTCTCTACTTCCTCCAGCTGCCCTCGCCCAACCAGACGGAGCATATGGGCATCTTGTCCCAGGCCTTTCTTGGGGAAGAGACCCGGAGGCTCCGCCAGATGGAAAAGGAAGAGGAGTTCCAGTTGGCCATAGCAAAGACCCACGATTCTCTCATAGACACAGAGGGGCCCGACATGAGGGAGAAAATGAAGGACCAAATTCGACAATGGTTTATTGAATGCCAGTCAGTGGCCACAGCCTTGGTTGACCCTCATTCCCTCCTCACCCCGTGTCCCTGGAACTGCTCCTGCCCCATCCTCCCACCTGTTCTCTCTTCTAGTTCAGCTCAGCCTTTTTCTCCCAACACCCCCATCCCCAACACCCTACTGACTCTTGGTTTAAACCTTGAGCCCCCAATGTATAGGACTGTCTTCACACCTAACTTTCCATTTCCCTGAGGGAAGAGAAAATGCCAGGACAGGATCGGAAAAGGATCCACGAATGCTCTGTAGCAGTCTGTCTATCCTTTGCATGCTGAAACTACCCATTCTTCCTCTCTTTTTCCCATTTCTCTGGGTCTTTGTCTTTCTCCACCCTTCTCAATCTATTTATTCACCCACCCTTTTTCCATCCATCCATCTACCCATTGATTTAGCCATCCATCTTCCACCCATCCTTCCATCAGTCCAGTCACCCATCTGTTTGTCCACCCTTTCATCCACCAGTTCATTCACCCATTTGACTAACCATTCATCTATCCAACCACCCATCTACCCACCTGCCCATCTATCTGACCAAGCACCAACCAACCATCTCTCTCTCTCTGACCATCTTATATCCACTTAGTGCCCTTACTGGTCGGTTTCCTGACTATCCAGATGAAGCTTTAGGTGGATCCAGCTTGATCTTTGCAGACAAGACTCCAGAACAGGTACCTAGATTGGGGGAGACAGGAGGTTTTCTATTACAGACAGGAGGTTTTCTCAGAGCCTGAGGTTAACAGAGAGTAGTGAGAGTAAGCTGGGTGGGGATGGATCAGTGTCAGTGGAGGCAGATGTGGCCAGAGAAAAGATGGGCAGCTAGAAAGATTGCATGAGTCGGAGAAAACAGCCATTTCTTCTCTGTAGAAGAAATGGTCTGATTAGAGGCCCCAGAGCCCCATGGCACGGGAGTCCTGACCAGAAACCCCTTCTCCAGTGCCCTTTCTTCCTGGACCCCCTCAGCTGTCCCAACCCCAGCAGTTTCCCTAGGCCTTTGAAATCTTGGGTCCATCCGTCTCAAGTCCTGGGTTCCCTTCTATAAAATTCCCTTGGTCTCTAAAATGCTATTTGTCCTTGGTCACAGGTAAGAATGGACCTGGAGATGCAGGCCCAGGAGAGCAAAAAGAGCAAGGAGCAAGAGAAGGGAAAAGACAAGGAGAAAAGTGAGAAGAAAAAGAAGAAGAAAGGAAAAGAAGGAAAAACCAGGAAAGGGGTAAGATGGCTCCTGGCATGCAGAGCAGATGGGCAGAAAGGAACCAAGCCTGGGAATTCATAGTAAGAGATCTGGTCCCAGCAAGAATCAGGCAGTTTTGGAGGTGATGGGGTCAAGGTTAATACATGTTTCTTTTCTAGGAAGCAGATACAATGCTGAAAATATTGCCATCCAAGTTTATACCTGTGATTAACGCTGGACATGAAGAGTACATAAGTAAGAGGGGAGAAGGCTGGGAGGCATTGAACTTTGTAGGGGTGTTGGGGCCCTTAGTCATGGAGAAAGTGGCGTCTGCCATATGGCTATGAGGTGGCAATGTGGCTGTGGAGGCTGGAGAATAATGCCGATGGGGGCAGGGTGTGCAGTGATTGCTTGAGTTGAGGGTGTTATGAGTGTGGTCTGAATCCTGCGGTCCCAGGCCTTGGAGTCAAGCCCTGGGTAGACGCAGTGCTAGATGGCCAACTGAGAACAGGGGGACTAGCTAGGGCCACTCTCGTGTGTGTGCCCGCATGTACACTCGTGGCATTCCTGGGGCTCTCACCTCTCGTGTGCCTCCACTTGCCATGGTCAGATCAGTGGAAGAACCGCCACGAGAGCGCACATCCAAGTCAGAGCTTCGACCCTGAGACCCTCCAGGAGGAGAAGAGGAAGGAGGTGGAGCTGGAGATCCGGATACAGGTGTGAGCAGGGGTCAGGGCTCCCCTCAGCTGTTCCCCGTGTCTTCTTCCCACCACTGGTGCCTGCAGCTGCTGCAGATCCATCCCCACCCGGGCCCTCAGCCCCCCACCCTGGCACCCAGATGATTCTCTGGGGACCAGGTTATCCTCTATGCATAAATCCTATCTCCACCGGCTGCCATGTCACTGCCATCATCCTCTGCCTCCACCATGTCCACTGTATCCCTGGGGTTGAATTACCTCGCACCTGATTCAACAGGGATGTGAGGGCAGGAGTAGGGTAGGGCTCTGAGCTGGGGTCAGGCTGGGGCTGGCACTGGACATCCACATTCCACCACCATCCTCACACCGTGTCTGCTCTGTCAGGGTTATTGGACCATCAGACCATGATTTCCCAATGGTGCTTCTAGAAAACTGATGCTACATAAGCATCATAGAGCCCTCAGGGGGTAGCCCTTAGGCTTGAGCTCTGTCTTGGGGGCTTCCCCCCACATTGATAGCTGCTGAGAGCAAGGCTCATGGAGGACAGGTGGATTAGGATTGTGTGTGGAAAGGTGCAAGGGAGGGAGACGTGCCAAGCCACATGGGAACCACCTGGGTGGCTGTCCTCTCTGCCTTCTCCTATTTTGTCTGGCTCTTCTTTGAAGCTCCTCCCTCCTCTCCAGCCCTGACTCCCTCCAGCACCTGTCCTGCCCACCACACTTCCTGCCTTGTCCTCCAGGTGGACGAGCTGATGCGTCAGGAGCTGAGAAACTTGCGTCTGGCTGTGGACAAGGAGGAAGGAAGACTCCTGAAAACTCCGAAGGCAGATGAGGGGTCACGGCTAGGTAGGGGAGGGAACATGAGGGCAGGAAGGCTGACAACAGTTAACAATTATCTGTGTGCTTATTTCCCACCAGAAAAAGACTGGAAAGAAAACTGGGAAGAAGAAGAAGGAAAAAGATCTGACCCCAGACAGGTAGCAGACCCTGTTGAGCCCACCTTGCACTGTAGGTGGTGGAGAGAGCCCAGTCCAGAACAGAAGACCTGACTGCTGGTCTTGGTTCTGCTGCAGTGTGATGTTGGGGAGGTGACTTCATCTCTCTGGACCCATGCCTTTGTTTACCATGTTCCTGTCGTTGAAAATGATAATGCAGAATAAATATAAATGGAGTTTATAATAATCATTACTCCACTTCTTCTAGACTCTCCCTCCAACCTTTGCTTTTGTTATTTCTGTCCTCCAAAGTCATCTTCCTCTGGACTCCCCCTTGGTGGGGGGCACTGAGAAACGAATCATTGCCCCTTTCTACCCATTTCTTTGGTAATGAGTGACCATAAGCACACTAACCCTAACGGCCCTTCCTCCCAAAGGAATTCACATCTTAGACTTGGTTTGGGAATGACTGGCTTTCACATGGTGGCACTTTGGTCATGTCACAGGGGCCATTGGTCCTTCTCACTTACTCCTCACTCCACAGGGTGCCAACTTGGGGAGGGGTGCTCCTAACATAGTGGTTGGGCCTCCCCTTCTGACTCTGGTTGTTCCCATGTCTGTCTTCATTTCCCTTTGTCCTCTCTTGCTATGGTCTCCCTGCACCATCCTCTGCCAGGTCTGTGGAGTCACTGTATGAAGAGCTTGTCATTTTTGGCCTTCTAAAGAAGAGTGAGACAGTGGCATTGAAGGATTACGTTGGTGAGCCCCTCCCCATGCTCCAGCTCCCCATCCTCAGCCCATGGCCTCAGCTTCCAGAAACCTCTTTTCCAGCAGTTCTCTCCCTTGGACACCCCCCAAGAGTACTGCTCACCAGGTGGCCTCCTCCTTGTCCTCTCAGGTGACTGCCTTTATCTCGGGTCCACTCTGAGTTTGGCAAACAAGCTTCCCATGCCCTCCCTGTTTGATATACGACAGAACATGGCCTTGTATGCAGTCCTTCGGCTGGGTGAGAGGCCCGGGGAGTGAAGTGCTGGGTGAATTTGGAGGAGGGGCAGTGGCTGGGATCCAGGGTTGGGTAGCTGAGGTGGCCTGTCCAGTCTAGGCCTCCACTTTCCAGTTGCCAAGGTACCTTTGCCAGGCCCTGACAGCAGTCACACGCAGATAGAGCCACCCCAGAAATCATACAAGCCCTTGACCTCTTGAGGGAGGACCACCACTGCCAGCCCTTTAATCCTAAGTGACATCCCATAGTCAGTCTCATTTCCAGAAAACCAGCCCTGCACCCTTATTAAAAAGCAGGGACAGAAGCACTTTGTCAATTCTAACCGTCACAGTGCGGGGGTGGAAATGGTACGGAAACATAGCAAGGCACTGGAAGAAGATAGTGGGTCCCCTCCTGGCACCACACTGCTCCCCACCATGGAGGTCGTAAGCCATTTGAAATTCTCCAGGCTGCCACTCTGGTTGCAGGTCTGGGGAAGCTGCTCAAGTGTGGGGGAAGGTGATGCGGCCCTGGCTTGTACCTCACCCTCTAAGCCCCTTCTTACTTCCCAGCCCCAGGCCTGGCCTCACCTTCCAGGATCTTCTCTGCCATGTTGCTGGTTGCTTGCCCGTGGCCTGCCTCCAGCCCTGCTTACTTCCTCACAGGTTCCCCGGACATACACTCTGTGGCTCCCCTCATCCGCTCTATCCTCCTGGTGGGCCCCTCCGGTACGGGGAAGAAGATGTTGGTCCAGGCTGTATGCACGGAAACCGGTGCCAACCTGTTTGACCTGTCACCTGACAATCTGATGGGCAAATATCCTGGCAAGAATGGGGTGCAGATGATGGTCCACATGGTCTTTAAGGTCTGGAGCCCTGGGCTTTTAGGTTCTGCTTCCCAGACAGCAGAGTAGGGTGGGCTTCATGCTTTGCGGGGGTCACCCACTTACCTGTTTGTTGAGATTTCAGGACTGGAACTGGTGAGGTCTCCCCACCAACCCCTGCCTGAAGCCCCCATGCTGGGAAAGGTGGGAGGAGAGGGAGGCAGAGAAGTTTCCTTGTATGGTAAGATAAAGCCCTCTCCCCTGGAGGACCGTGACTCTGGTTCACACTGAAGTGCGATGTGGATGTGTGTGCAAAGGACTGGGGAGGGTATAGAAAGTGGAACCTGGGCCTCCAAAGTCACCCAGCACCTAAGGCCGGCCCTGACACTATGACCCTTGCCCGGGGGTGTCTTATGTCTGATATATACCCTCTGACCCGTCCAGGTGGCCCGGCTCCTACAGCCTTCTGTGATCTGGATTGGAAATGCTGAAAAGACTTTCTATAAGAAGATCCCAAAAGAAGAGAGGAAGGTGAGGGCGCATGGAAAGGAAGGGACATGTGGATAGGCAGGCAGAGCCCAGGGGCAAGGCCAGAATTCTTGTTTGAGTCCCTGAAAACCACCTTACCTCTGCGACCTTGGACTAGTAACCTGTCTTTCTCATACCTCTTTTCCTTACATCAAAGCAGGACAGACAGCCTTTCCCCACGCCCTCAGGGTTGACATGAGGCTGAGCGTGGGGTATATGATCTGAGAACACAGGGGCCCCGTAGGACCAGTCACTGTATCCCAACCCCACTGCCTTGCCTCCTTGGAGCAGATGGACCCAAAGCGAATAAAGAAGGACCTTGCCAAGGCCATGCGTCTCCTGAATCCTGGAGACCGTGTGATGCTGATAGGGACAACAGATCGGCCACAGCTGGCTGAGATGAAGGGGCTGTGCCGGCTGTATGAGCGGATCCTCTTCATGCCTCGGCCTGATTATGCTTCTCGCTATGGTGAGGCCAGGGTTATGGGGTAGGACAGAAATGGAGTCCAGGGACCACTACCTCCAAACCCCCCCTACCATCCTCCTTACCATCCTCCACTCTGCTATGAGCACTCACCTCCAGGGCCAGGTCCTGAAGGCATACACAGCAGCCCAGTGCCTGGGGTCCTGCCCTTGGCCTCATGGACACAGGCAGGTTGCTTCTCTCCTCAGAGTCTCCATTTCTGGTGCTCAACCAGGAGGACCATCCCTTCCACTCCTGGCCCCAGACCTTTCTGGGGACAGGAACTACTCCCCAGGAATACAGAGCTCCTTCACACCCAGGTGGAGGAAGGCTGTGGACCTGACGAGTCCCACTGCCCCTGTCTCACACCCCATTCCTCCTCCTCCCTGCAGTGCTCTGGAAGCATATGATAGAGGCCCAGGGAGCACAGGTGTCCCAAAACCTGGACATCAGTGCCCTGTCCAAGGTGTCTGATGGCTATACAGCTGGTCACATTCTTCAAGCCATCCAGTCTGTGGTGACCGAGCGTCGGCTCCTGCAACTGTCCAAGCGGCCCCTGGTGGCCTCTGAATTCGTGGGACATCTAGCAAAGTTGGACCCAGTGTACAGGGAGGAGGAGGAATCTCTGAAGGTGAGGCCTCCAGGCTGGCTGGGGGGTACACGGGGTCAGCTAGGAGTCAGCCCCCCAAGACAGGCAACTAGCCCCTCTCCCTCTGCTCCCTTAAATTAATAGAAGACAGTCAAGTTAAATGGACTTGGACTACAGCTGGGAAGGGAACAGGAAACACCATGGAGGGTCAAAGGGTAGGGACCTGTAGGCAGGACTGTCCCACCTGGTCTCCTCGAGGCAGGAGCCCTTGATTGGTTCCAGAACCAGCTACCATGAGCCTCCCCCACGCTTGAGTTGGTGCCTGTCCCTGGGAGTCAAGAAGAGGGGCCTGTAGGGGGTGGAAGGAAGGAGGCATGCTCCCCAAGAATGGCAGACACTGTGGCCTGGAGTGTTTAGTGGGGAACAGGGAAGCCCTGGCTCTGACAGGATCCCCAGGCCCCAGAAGACAGGAAAAAAGCCTGCTGAGGAAACAGGACCCACAAAGAAAGGAGAGGTGAAGGTGGACAAGGAGAGATGAGGGTCAGAGTCAGGTCCTGTGGACTCCCCCGCTGCCTGTACTCCTGCCAACCCAGGACTGGTACTACAAAACTCCACTGGGCAAGAAGAATGCGAAACTTAGCAAGGACCAGCAGGAGGCCGAAGAGGCCAAGCTGGCAAAGGAAAAGAAGAAAAGAAAGTGATGGCTGAGACCTGAGGGTGTCCGGGGTGGGCAGAGGGACTGGGCAGTGCCTCGAGGGTGAAAGGGCGGGGCATAAAGGCCCAGGTAGCTATGGACGAGCTGTCTTGTCCAGCCATCACCACGGCTTCCGGCTTCCGGTCCACCACTCACCTCCCTGTCCCAGGGCCTGCTGTCACCTGCTCCCTGCCCTCTCCCAGCTCTGGCCCCTGATCCCCCCTTCCCCCCCTCTTCATATCTTCATCTCCTTGTCACTTTCCTATGGTGGCTCTGCACCTCACTTGCTTGAGACAAAATAGGAAGGACTGAGGAAAAGAGCAGAGAGGGAAGAAGGAAGGCCTGCAGTAAGAAAAAGAGAAAGGCAAGTCTGCAAGCAGCTGGCCCTGCTTGTAACCCTATGGCGCTAGCTCCCTGTGCAGCCTCTCTCATCTCTGTGCCTCAGTTTCTGTAATTATAAAGTGAGGAGAGGTTAGGCCTAGGATCTCCAAGGTCCTTTCTCTCCGGGGTTGGATCATACTGGCAAAAGCATTTGTGGAATTGAGGAGCTGAGGCTATTTGGGTGGTGGTAGGCTGGGGATCAGAGGGGCCAGGGCTGTGGGTAGACTCAGTACCCTCCAAGCAATCTTGACCTCTCTCCTCTAAAGACCCCTCCCCAACATCCCCACCTGCAGTCTGTGCAATGGGGCTCAGTGGGAACATCCTCCTGTCTGGGGTGGGAGTCTCCCTTGCTAGGGGGAATATGGCTCTGGAATGGGTGGGGAACCCCAAGGAGCCAGGATGACTGTACCGCCAGGGCTGGGAAGCCCCAGAAGAGGCAGACTTATGGGCAGTGCACAGAGTATTTGATAAAGGTCAAGAGGCATCCACAGGTAAGAGCCAGTGCAAGCCAGACCAGGTGAGACCCCTGGGGCTGGAGCAGCCCAGAGCCTGTGGTGGACAGGGTCAAGCCAGAGCTGAGCCTAGGGACTTGGCATACATCTTCTTTCTCCCCTCTTGACCTGTTATCCAAACCCCCCAACAAAAGCAGCCTCATTATCCTAATGGGCTCCCTCCCACTCTCCAGCTCAGACCCCAGCCAACTATGAGGCAGAGGTGCCATGTGGGAGATCATGGGGGCCTCCAGGGACTAGAGGACCAGCACCTAGGATGGATATGGTGGGGGGGGCTGGCACCCAGGATGAGCAAGGAATCTTTTGCTGCCTGTGGGCTGAGCCCTGTCCCCCTGTCAGAGAACCCCTGAGGGGTTCCTTGCACATGGGTGCTGGGCTCTGCTGCTGGTTGCTATTGACTTCTAAGTTCCCCTCCCTTGCATTTGGGAGTGGGAGGGTGCAGGGCTCATGGATAACATGTGAGGAGCATCTGACCTCCCTCGGGGTCAGAGCCCTGGCTGCTGGGGCTGACCTGGTAAAGCAAGTGACAAGAGACAGGGAACCTGGGAGCTGGCGTCGTGGTGCACACATGTAATCCCAACTACTTGGAGGAGGTAGGAGGATCACTGTCTGAGGCTGGCCTGAGGAAAAACTTGAAACTCTATTTGAAAAATAAACTAAAAACAACAGGGCTTGGGGGCATGGCTCAAGTGGTAGGGCACTTGCCTTGGAAGTGTGAGGCCCTGAGTTCAAACCCCTGTACTGGGGAAAGAAAAAAAAAATAAAAGAAAATGAATGAAAGAAAAAGGAAACTGGAATATGGGTTTCGGTCCCAGCTCTATGACAAGTTACTTGTGTGTCTTTGGGAAAATTTCTCCCCTTCTCTGGGCTATGTTTTCTTGTGTCTGTAAGATGTACACTGGTCAGTATCAACTTGGATATCATCCAGTCCTGGAGGGTGAAGTTTGGGGGGTTGCAGGGCTCCCCCTTCAGCCTGTTCAAACCCTCCCTAACTCCCCTCTCAGCCTGAGAATATCATCCGGGTACTGAAGGATAGGACAGCCAGGGGCTATTTACAGCTGCCCAGGCTGCTCCTCTGCTCCTCCCACACTGGGCCCTGCTGCTTTGGCTCCCTCTCCCAGAAACCAGCATGCCCAGGGGAAGGAGCTCCCCTTCCTATGGGGGACACCTTCTGGGGTTCATCCCCTCAGCCCCTGCCTGCCGCGTAGGGGGGCCCCAGTCCTGCCTAGCCTGGGGGACCCCTCGGTCATCGCCATTGCTGTGCCGTGATATGGCTCTACAGAATGCCCTGTACACTGGAGACCTGGCCAGGTTGCAGGACCTATTTCCCCCCCACAGCACAGCTGACCTGCTGCTGGAGAGCCGGGCTGCCGAGCCTCACTGGAGCAGCCATCAGAGGGGTGAGGAGCAGCTGGGGGAGGTCTGACATGGGGCTGGACTGACCACCCTTAGCACAGAGGTCCTAAGGCCGAGGAAATGAGAAGCCCCTGGCTGCTGCTTCCCCACCCCAAAACTTGCCTGACAGCTTAAACCTTGGCTCAGGAAAGAAGTCATGTGGAGCCCAGAATAGCTCCTGCTGGACCTCGTGGCCAGGTCAGGCTCCAGCCGGGGACACAGGGCCCTCTGCATCTATTTGTCCGTGTTTCCCTCCTTTTGCCCTCACTCTGCCTGTGGCCTTTACCTCTTCCTCTCCCAGGCTCCCTCCCCACATGCTCATGAGCTGGTCCCCAGAAGAGTGCAGGGGGCAGGGAGAGCCCCCCAGTGACAGATACACCCTCTGTGCCAGGCTGGTGGAGAAGCCCAGCAGAGGGTCTGAGGAGCACCTGGAGGCTGGCCCGAGACCCATCGTCACTTGCACAGCCTCAGGACCTGCCCTTGCCTTCTGGCAGGCAGTGCTGGCCGGGGACGTGGGCTCTGTGTCCCACATTCTCTCGGACTCCAGTACTGGCCTGACTCCTGATTCCGTCTTTGATACCAGCGACCCAGAGCGATGGAGGGATTTCCGCTTCAACATCCGCGCTCTGAGTATGGGCTAGGGACATTTGGGGGTCTGAGTGGGAGAGGGGAGACTGTGGACTGAGCTCTGAGCTCCCTGTCCAGCCTCTGCCCACCTCACCGACCCTTGATGGCAGCTCTTTGCCATCCCTCAGGATCTGAGGCCCCTGTCCCTCTCTCCCTAGGACTCTGGTCTCTGACATATGAAGAGGAGCTGACCACTCCACTGCATGTGGCGGCTAGTCGTGGCCACACAGAAGTTCTGCGGCTGCTGTTGAGGCGGCGGGCAAGGCCGGACAGTGCCCCTGGGGGCCGCACCGCCCTGCATGAGGCCTGTGCTGCCGGGCACACTGCCTGTGTCCGTGTGCTGCTGGTGGCGGGAGCAGACCCCAACACCCCTGACCAGGATGGGAAACGCCCCTTGCATCTCTGCCGGGGGACAGGCATCCTTGAGTGAGTGACCTTTCACCCCCACCCAGGTCCAGGCTTAGAAGAGGCAAGGAGACCTGCTCAGGGAGGAGTGATAGGCAGGTCAGGCAATCCCCAAAAACTGGTGGGGTCAGGATGTAATTACTCCCCGAGCCCCATGAACTGTGCGGTGGCCTGGACTTGGGACCATTTTCTGGTTCTCCAGGGATAGCGGAGGGCTGTGACAGGGGCCCAGCTTTGTGGGCTGTGCTGGGGAAATCATCCCAGCTCATTATGGAGAGGCCATATTGCTATGTTTTAATATTTCCTGAGCTCATCCTACGTTCTGGGCACTGCGCTAAGTCCAGTAGCAGCTAAGTCATGGTCCTACCCTCAGGGAGCCTGCTGTCTAGTGATTCAGACAGGCTGCAAAGGATGGAGACCCCTGTGTCCCTGATTCTCAGTGTGGCAGGTCTGGATTCCCATACTGGCAGGGCACTCAAACTCACAAGAAACCGATGGGTCCACACAACTGTGTCCATGTTCTATTTACCGTAGGGAGAGTCCTTCGTAGTGACCTAAGTAATTACAATTTATGTATAAGGAACCTGGGAGGGCGAGTCCCCACTTATGGTTTCTTAGTGACTGCGAATTTGGGCAAAGTTTGCCTTGGCAAGTTCATGAACGGACTCTATACACAGCAGAGGTACTCTCTTGACTGACCTTACACCTGCCAGATCTTGCATCTCACCCCTGGAGAGGCATGCTATCCATCTTTGGTTCTAGTAGCCCTATCAAAAAATAAAAATTAAATAGGTAAATTGATGTTTTAATGTGGTAAAATATACAAAACATAAAATTTACCACTTTAGCCATTTTAAATTGTACAGTCACATGGCACAACCATGATACCATCCATCCACAGAACTTTTTCCTTTCTTTTTTTTTTTTTTTGGTGGTGCTGGGGATCAAACCCAGGACCCCTGTGCTTGCTAGGCAAGTACTTTACCACTTGAGCCATGCTTCCAGACCCACAGAATTTTTTCATCTTGCAAAACTGAAGCACTATCTAGATTAAACAGTGACTTCCCAGGCTGGCTTCCCCTATCCCCTGGCAACCACTATTCTACTTTGTGTAGGAAGCTCATAGAAATGGAATCATGTGGGATTTGTCCTTTGTTGACGACTCTTTCACTTACCATGATGTCCTTGGGGTTCATCCATTTTGTGGCAAAGTGTCAGAATCTCCTTAAAAACTCAGGGCCTGGGGTTTGATAGGCAGGTGCTCTACCACCTGAGTGATGCCCCTCCTCTTCTTAAGGCTGAATGATATTCTATGGTATGTAGATGCTGCATTTGTTTGACAGTTGGTGGACACTTCTGTTGTTTCCACATCATGGCTGCAGTGAATAATGCTGCTATGAATATGGGTGTACAAATATCTGTAAAACAGGTCAAATTAATTTTAATATATTTAACCCAATATATCCAAAATGTTATTTCAACAAGTAATCAATATAAAAATACTTAATGAAAGGGCTGAGGGTATAGCTCAGTGATAGAATGCTTGTCTAGCATGTGTAAGGCCCTGGGTGCTATCCCCAACGCCACAAAAAAAAAAATTCAAAAATTTTTAATGAGGTATGTTACATTCTTTTGTGCACTAAATCTTCAAAACTGGTGTGTATTTGACACAGCATATTTCCATTCAGACTAGCCACATTGCAGGTGCTCTGCAGCCCCATGTGGCTAGTGGCTCCCATATTGGATGACCCAACTCTACATAATCCCACATCTTTAGTTCTGGTCATTTTCAGTCCAGACTCCTTGAGCTCACACCCAGTGGTGGCCACTCTTTCCTTTCTTGAGGAACGGTGTATTTTAAAATTATTATTTCAAACATACAGAATGGTAGCCAGGACAGTATAATGAGTCCCCATGATCCAGCACCATCTACACCACCCACTCCCTCCATCAAATGCTGAGCTCGGATGGTAACAGCTTCAGGCATTATCTCTTATGCTCCTCGCAACCCCTTCACCAGGCCCAGCTCTTGTTATCTCCATTCTCCACATCAGGAAGTGAGCTCAAAAAGGCAGCCTCAAATTTTGGTGCACACTTAACTGTGACCCCCGCCCCCCGTCCTTCCTCAAGCACCATCCTGGAGAAGATCTGGCTGGTTAATTTCCATTTTGTTGTTCCTTGTGCTGTGGCCCCCATTTCTATTTGTGCTCACTGCCAGGCCCCATGCCCTGGCTTCCTCCTCCAGTCCCAGCATGCACAGCCCTCAAACTGCCCTGCTGCCCCTGGCCCTGAATGCTAGCTGCATCCCTTCCAAGCTGTGTAAACTTGTGTGAGACCCTCCAAGGCTTTGTATTCTCTGTGACAGAGTTCTAAGAGAACCTACCTACCATGGGACTTAGAAGGGTGCCACTCCAACCATGTGATAACTGCTTGTGTCTTTTATTCCTATGGGTAGATAGTGGATGATTCCTGCAGAAAGTATTTGGATGTTTAAAAAGGCCACCGTGGGCTGGTATGGTGGCAGGTGCCTGTAGCCCCAGCGTCCGGGAGGCTGAGGCAGCAGAATCCCTTGAGTCCAGGAGTTTGAAACCAGTTCAGGCAACACAGAAAGACCTTGTCCCAAAAAAATAAAAAATAAGTAGAAAGGCCATTGTGATCCTGCAGAATGTTGCTGGAACAGCAGGACGGAATTGGAAGGAGAGGAAGGTACAGAACCAGGAACCACCCAGAGCTCCCTGCCATGTTTGCTGTGCTCAGACCAGCAGGAATGCGGGGTCCATACCTACTTTCCTCCCCACCACCATCTCTCCCCGACTAGGTGTGTGGAGCTGCTCCTGAAGTTTGGGGCACGAGTGGACGGTCGGTCTGAGGAGGAAGAGGAGACAGCTTTGCACGTTGCTGCCCGGCTTGGCCATGTGGAACTGGTGGACCTGCTTCTAAGACGGGGAGCATGTTCTGACGCTCGCAATGCTGAAGGCTGGACACCACTGCTGGCTGCTTGTGACACCCGTTGTCAGTCCCCTGATGATGCTGAGGCCACCTCTGCTCGCTGTTTTCAGCTGTGCCGCTTGCTGCTCTCAGCTGGAGCTGACGCGGATGCTGCCGACCAGGACAAGCAGCGGCCCCTGCACCTGGCCTGTCGCCGTGGCCATTCTGCCGTTGTGGAGCTGCTCCTGTCCTGTGGTGTCAGTGCCAATGCCATGGACTATGGGGGCCACACGGCCCTGCATTGTGCTCTGCAGGGTCCAGCCACAGCCCTGGGCCAGAGCCCGGAGCACATCGTGCAAGCCCTGCTTAACCATGGTGCCGTCCGAGTCTGGCCGGGGGCCCTCCCCAAGGTATGGGGCTGAAGGCTGGGAGAGGGCAATGATGGGGAGGGGACAGGGAGATCTAGACCTGTGCTCAGGCTTGCTTGGCAATGCAGCCTGGAACATTTGGGCACATAGATTAGTTCCTTCTGTCTGTCGTTCAACAAGTAAGAAAAACCCAAATAGAGATCAAGAACAGGATGCAGAAGTGTTTGTGCTGGTGCATGTGTGCATGCGTGTGTGCATGCACGTATTGCATGTGTGCATGCACGTGTGATGAAGATGGACTGAGGGCAATAGGCTCAGATTGCAAAGGATCCGAAAGGTCCAAAGAGTCAGGAGCAGTGTGGGTGGCCGGGATGGTTTAAGGGTCATACTCGGGCCATGAGCTGATGAGAACTGTTTGAGGGGCACAGGACTCGAGGAGTGAGAGACTACACACCGACACGGATGAGGCACCCCCAGAGCAAGTCAGGCCAGCTCCCTGGTGCTCAAGGGCTCCTGAGCATTACAAAGGGACACAGCCCCACTTTCTGACAGCTTAGAGGGACATATCCCCCCAAACAGCTGTCACTGTCCTTGTGACACACCTTTCCCTGTCATTTTTCCGTTCATATCTTATTTTACATTAATTTCCCCAAAGTGAGTTCAACTTGAGGATCTGAGCAAGGTGCCCTGGCAGGGGGCCTTGTCCCATGTTGGGCTAGAGGGGCTACATAACATCATGGAGGGCACTGGGTGTGGGGAGGGGTCAGGACTGAACTGGCCACCTGGGAGGATGGCAAGCTGAGGACAATTCCCCTCTGGCCCAACCCCGCCCCTTCCTGGGCCCACCCCTGCTGTCTTCCCCTGTCTCTTTCGCTCACAAACCTAGAAGCATCTGTCTGGATTCCTAAGCAAGACCAAATAATTAAACAGCCCGAGAGTTCGGCAGATTGGTCTCCCCTTTGGGAAAATACAAGAAAATCAACAATTAACACTAATTAATCTCCTATTAACACCAGATAATTAGGAGACGAGCAATTCCCTGTAATCTGACGGCAGCTCTGACAGCTAATGATTTCCCCACCAGGCGGGGCAAGAGGAGGACTTGGCACAGCAACTGAACATCCTGGGACCCCACACATGCCCCGCTGTCCTGCTCCGCCCCTCAGCCTGTCTGGGGGAGAAAGAGAACCAGCAGAGCAAAGGGCCCCATTTGTTCCTTTCCCACGATCTACAGTCCCTCCAGTCTTGGCTGGAGTTCCTAACCTCCCTGCAGGGAGGACTCTGAAGCCCATCTGTGTGACTTGTCAGTCCTGCCTTCTCCAAACCCACCATATTGGAACTGGCACTCAAGAGAGTGATCTGCGGTCTGACTCTGACACTTGTTCGTGTGTCTGTAAGCAAGTCACTGAAATTCTCCGCACCCCAAGTTCCTTGCATGAGATTACAGCCTCCACCAAAAAGGGATGAAAAGCTGTAGGAACCAAATTGGAGCTGATAAAAAGTATTGAGGATGGGTGGGGGCTTGTGCCTATCTCCAATTTGAAGGTGTGCTATCTGTACATTGCGTCCCTTGGTCCTTCAACTCCCTGTGGAGACAGGCGCACTACTGTGTGATCCCTGGGAAGTTGCTTAATTTCTCTGTACTTGTTTCCTCATCTGTAAAATAGAAAGCCAGCTTCCAGTTTCCTACTTCATAGGGTCAGTGTGAGAAATACTGCGAACACGTACAAAATCTTTGAACAGGGCCCAACCTATACATAGCACTCAGTACTTGTTAGCTAGTATTCTAAAGTGATGTATATGAAGACGCTTTCTAAGCTGTCGGCCATCATCCCAGTATAAGGGATTATTAGATATGAGAGGGCAAGTCGGAGCCGCATGGGCCTCCCGGAGGAGGTACGACTTAGGATGGGCAGTTTTTAGAAGGAGGGGGGAGGAGGAAGCAGGTGTTCCCCAGCAGAAATGTAACTGTTCTTTCCTAACTGAGGAGGAGTGAGGTAGGGACCTGGCCCAGGGAGCCTGGGCTGGCAAAGCTCTGGTAAGCACTGCCCAGAGGCAGAACCAGAAGCAGAGGGAACCTGGACATATAAAATGTCTGCTCCAGGGGCTCCATGTCCCAAACAAGGCCTGGCCATCCACTGCTCCCATTGCTCTCCACACTCCCCGTGGGGGAAGGGGCTTTCAAGCCACTAACGTGTGCAATGGTGTGTGTCTGGGGTGTTTGCAGGTTTATCTGTAGGAAAGCTGCCTAGGAGGTGACACTTAGCTGATTTCAGATACACATAGGCTCCGTGGCCAGTGCCTGACATTTGAAGTCCAACAAGAGGTGGAGTGGAGGAAGCACACATATGCTTATAGGTACCAAGTGCAGTGCGGTCACCATGGTACCTATGTCCATGGCGCTGTTTTTTTGACCTCATGGACATTCCCTCCACAGGCTGTTCCTGCTTCACGTCTCACCCTCTCACCACATCAGGCCACCACCTCAGAGACCACTCTCTTGGATGGTGCCCTTCAAAGCGTGCTGTTTCCCTGACCCTACTTACTTGTCTTTGTAGCCGCAGGCCTGTGAGTGGTGATGGTGTGTTTATTGTTTTCCCTCTGAAATGGAAGCTCACAGATGACAGGACCTTGCCTTGCCTCCTCCCTGCTGGACCCAGAGTAGGCCCTCAGTAAATATTTGCTCAGTGTAAATGAAAGAATAAGTCTGGCTCCAACTCGATCCCAACCATTCCCCAAACCCTCCGCTGCTGCCCTGGGAAGTCCACATCAGGCCTCTGCTTGGCTGTTCCTCCTCCTACAATGCCCTTCTGGCCCTCACATTCAGAGCCAAGCTCCCTTAGTAAATCCCCCAGACCACCCTCTTCCTCCCCTGCTTCTCTTGCAGCTGTCGCTAGCATTCTCCTGGCATTGAGAAGATTCTGCTTTATACAATGATTGATCTTTTTATCTGCTCAGGAGCCCATCCCCAAGTCAGAGACCCCTTCCTAACCAGCAGAAAATCTAGCTCAGAGCTCTGCAGAGGCAGATAGGAGAGCAGAATGGGGTAATAGTTGAGGATGAAGCCACCGTGCCAGGCTTGAACTTCTGGAACTACAGCTTGGGCAAGTTTTTAAAAATCTTTGTGCTTCAGTTTCCCTTGTCTGAAAAATGGGGCAATAACAGTGCATAGCTGCAAAATGCTAAGAAAAGTATCTGGCATAAGTTATGCATGATAGAAATGTTAGCAGGTGTTTTCATTTCCTGTGTCTGCTGTTATAAAGTACCACAAACTGGGCTATTTAAATCCACAGAAATTTACTCCCTCACAGTTCTGGAGGCTGGAGTCCCAAATGGAGGAACTGGCAAGGTTGTTTCCTTCTGGAGGCTCTGAGGGAGACACTGTTACTGTGTCTTTTTCCAGCTCCTGGTGGTACCTGGTGTTCCTTGACTTGTGGCTGCATCACTCCAGTGTTATCACAGGCGCTTCTCCTATGTGTTGTCTGTGCCTCTGTTTTTCTTCTTATGACAACTGTCATATTGGATTAGGGCCTACCCTAATGACCTTGTTTTTACTTGATTACATCTGCAGAGTCCTTATTTCCAAACAAGGTCACATTCATAGGTACCAAGGGTGAGGACCTCATTACATTTGGGGCGGGGAACAAAATTCAACCCACAACAGCTGTTCTGGAGCTGTCTGGTAACCCTTCATGGACAGAGGGGTTCCTGACACACCTGTCTCCTCAGGTGCTGGAGCGCTGGTGCACATCCCCGAGGACCATCGAGGTACTGATGAACACTTACAGGTCCGTGCAGCTACCCGAGGAGGCCATGGGCCTGGTACCTCCTGAAACTCTGCAGGTTAGATTCCAGGACCCCGGACACAAAATTATTCAACTTAGCCCCAGGAGAGTCCCACCCCATAAAGGAGAGCACTATTGGTCCTCCACAGAAATTTCTCAGGGTCCTGATCATCTCCATAAGAAGAGAACTCCTGGAGTGAGTTCTAAGTGGTTCCTGTAGACACCCCAGTGGTCTCCAGTCTGCTGCTTACAATTGGGTGCCCATTGTCCAAGGCTGCCCTCACTGAGCCTCCTCTTCTGCCCCCAGAAGCACCATCGGTTCTACTCTTCCCTCTTCTCCTTGGTGAGGCAGCCCCGCTCACTGCAGCATCTGAGCCGTTGCACCCTCCGCTCTCACCTGGAGGGCTGCCTGCCTCATGCCCTGCTGCGCCTTCCCCTGCCACCCCGCCTGATCCGGTACCTGCTTCTGGATTTCGAAGATGTGCTCTACTAGGTGAACTCTGGGTTCTGGAGACACAGTGCTTGGGGTAGGGGGTAAAAGAGCCTCCCCAGGAGGGAGGGTGCTGGCTTGAACTGGCTGCCCCTAGGGCTATTGAATGTCTCTGAAGTCAAACCTCTCCTTTCAGGTGTGCACTACCTGGAGAGAACCTGAAAGCAGAAGCTCCAGCCTGCAGGGGGGTTCATCTTTGCATGGACTCATGCCAAGTGGCCTTGTCAACAAGAGGTCCATCTGCAAGGCAGGTGTTGATGCTACGTGCCCCACCTGAGAGGTGGAGAGATCATGGCAGACAGGTGATGTCTGATGAGGAGAGGGCAAGTGACACACTCTTTTTGGGGCTCTCCAAAGCCCCACTCTAGTCTATGCAAACCCTTTACGTGTATTAAAAATCTCCAGGCCGAGTGATTTGGTGCCGTCTCCAACAAGCTTTCCTCAGGCTCCCTCCCTTAAAGGGGAATTAGGACAGGAACTGGTAAGGGTCCCCAGATCTGCCTCATGTGCCTTACTTTCTCCCTTTGTCATCTATCACCAGGTCCCAGGCCAACCTGCCCCTCAGGCCCCATGAACTGATGAATGATCACCAGATGTGAGCATGTCAGAAAAGGTCTAAAGGGTGGGCAGGGCCAGAGGCTTGGGTAGGCAGAGCAGAAAAGGGCCCAGAAGGTAATGAAAGCTTCCTTTGGTGAAGAGGCAGGTAAAGCCACCAGGAGACTCACCTGGGGTGTGTGTGTAGGAGGGGTACTTGCATGAGTTAGTCTAGTGTGGAGGGATAACCATGACTCAGGTGAGAGCAAAAGGCCCAGGTTTAGGAAAACTGAACCACTTTTACTCACTGCTTGAACTGCGGATCAGAAAGCGTCGCTTGCACACCTGGCCCCTGCCTAAAACTGTTCCTTTCTTAAATTTAGCTTTGTGGTGACAAAAGCACCAAGCTGTTACAGGACCTGGGTTCTACTCAACTCTACCATTAACTTGTCCTGTAACATAAGTATCTTCCCCTCTGTAGCTCATTTACATCTGTAAAATGAAACAGACAAAGTGGAGTCTCTAGGGACACTGCGGTACCAGGATTCTAAGAACCTGCAGCTGGGCCCCAGTCCCAGCCGCTGGCGGGTAACCACAGGAGGGAGGGGGAGCTGTGAGGAGCTACAGAGTAGCCAATCAAGTGCACGGTGATCCGTGACGTCAAGGGTCGCTGGACAGAGTTCCCAGGCTTCAGCTTACACAACTTTCCTGCCAGCTGCTGAGAGTGGGGCTGCGTGGGGCGGGGTGGGGCATGGAGGGGGCGGGGCCTGGGCATGAGGCGAGTTGCTGGGAAGCTCTGAGCACCAAGCTGGGGCTGGTGTCGAGAAGGCAATGAGACATACAGTGAGACGAATGGGCAGGACTCCTAGCCGGTCCTCACCGAGCGTGGGTGGCCCAGGCTGCCTGGGCTCCAGGTAACAGCAGGCAGCTTGGGAACCCGAGGGTCCAGGTTTGTCGGAACCCTCAGCTGTGAAAACAACAGGCTGCTTTGCCCGGAGGCACCTTGCAGGGGCGAAGGTCAAGGTCAGGAAGCGTTTTCCTCAGTCACGTACGGAGAACCTGCAGCGGAAGGTTCACTTACCGACAGACAGGGATGCCCCATCTTGTCTGCAGGATGGGGTTGGGATCCTGAAGAATGCCCGCGTGTTCATTTTATAGTTCCCCAACTGTTCTAGGCCATGCAGACACTGAACTGCAGAAGACATCAGACCTTGCTCCCGGTCCCTACTCTCTCGGAGCCTCCTATCTGGCAGAAGGGGAAATGCCAAGCAAACAACACATGGATAAGAAATGCAAAAGGGTGATGTAACTGTGACTGGATCGGGTGACAGGGAAATCCACTCTTTGAGGAGGTGACATTTAACCTGAGATCTGAATGACAAGGAGTCATCCTTGTGAGTAGAGTGGGAAAGGACAGGAGAGTGACATGAGCTAATGTAGGCGCTAAAAGATCACTGGGGCGTCCGGGTGGCTAGGGGATGGAGAGGCCATAGAGAATGGGGAGGCCAGTTGGAGGCTATTGCAGCAGTTCAGGCAGAGTTGGGGTAATTGTGGGCAAGCTTTGGGATGGGACTTGCAGATGTAGTGCCTGTGGGGCTGGAGGAAAGCCTCATCTAGGATGCCTCCTGGACTTTTGGCTTGAACAACTGGATGGATGGTGGTAGTAACTACTAAGGTGAGGGAGACAGAGAGGAACAGGAATCTAAAGACCTACGTTGGGTAGATTAAACTGGAGCCATCTGAGAGACATCTCAAAGAGGCTGTGTTCAAAGGCCCTGTGAATCTGGACTGTGAAAGGAGGGCAGGTCTGAGCATGTAACTAGGAGAAGCTGGTTAAGGCTCTCTTCCAAGAGGATCCTGACTCATTCTCAAAGGATGATTTTCCTGAAAGTCTTGTTTATGAATTTTGATGCAAATTCTGTTTAATCCCACCTACTCTGTTCCTTTTGTGCTTCTGGAGCCCCAAATTTTAGGTATTAGGTACATGGCTGCAAATGAGACATGGTCCTGCCCTCAGCAACCTTTCAATCTAATCCGAAAAGCAGGTGTGAAGTGGTTAGAATACAGAGAGCAATGAATGAAGGTAACATAACTGTGAGGCCAGGGGCTGCAGGAGGAAAGGAAGGCGAGCAATGGGGTATGAATGTGAGAAGACTTCGCAGAGGGGGTACTGCCTCTACAGTAACAAGGAAGGAGGGGTTCTGCCACATATGGAGGGGTTGGGTGTGGGGTACCTTTTTAAGGAAGGTGGAAGGGAAGAAAGGCAGCGTGAAGTGGTCCATGTGAGGAGCCTGTCGCTAGCTTCACATGTTGCACCCTTAGCAAGGCAACGTTGGGAAGGTCTTTTCTGGGGTTAGATATCCAGACACTTCCAAGACAGGGAGCTTCCTCCCCAGCCTCCTGGTTGATGGTCCCGCGGGCCCAGAACCTCTCCCCGGTAATTGCTTTCTGTAATGTGTTTGCTCCAAACCAATTTCACGCCTCTGTGAGGACTCCGCCCTGCACTGGAGCCGCGGACCTCCCCACCACCAACCTGCCCGCCTGTGAACATGTGGGCTCACGCATACAGCACACATTAAACACGACAGATACACAGGATTTGAGAACCTGGGCACAACAAACATGAATAAGCCTATCTGTATGTATACTACACTTCAAGACACTCGTGTACAATCATCGTGCCCAACCAGTGCACGCACAGTGAAGCACCCACGGGCTTGGACAGCTCACCTGCTCGGGTTTCTTTGCCTTCGAAGCGTCTCCGACTAACGCCAGGGGGCGCTGCAGCACCCTGCGCCTCCCTCGCGGTGGCTGCAGTTGCGCCCTACTGCCACCAGAGGGCAGCCAGGGGGCAGGACCCGCCGCTGCCCACCGTAATAGGACTTCCCTGGCCAATGAATGAGTGAGTGGACCTGTTGGCTTTGACTTTAGAACGCTTTACTAGTTCTTCGTATCCTAGTTGCACATGAGGGAGAGGCCAGATGACGAGATCCGACATAAGCATAGAGGATCGAACAAAAATAAAATTCCTCCCTTACTAGCATTTCCCAAACTGGAGGAGAAGTGAGTGGGTCAAGCAGAGAATGTGAACAGTGACAGCAGTGCTTTTAGTACTCCGTTTCAGATGAGGCCGTCTGCTTGCGCATAATGGGCCTGTTCAGGGATTCACCACCGTTTTCCTCTGGAAAGAAAGGAACGACTGTGTTCAGATTTGATAACAACAGCATCTGTCCTTGGTACTGATCAGAGAGTAAGAAGCATGGGGCACCACTGATTCGCCCTCTGTTCAGTGCAGGAAGCACCCGTTTTGCAGGGTGTCTGCTCACATTCACATCATCCTTGCTTTGTTTTATTTTTGAGACAGGGTCTCACTGTATAGGTCAGACCCGGCTCTAACTGTTCATCCTCTGCCTCTGCCTTCTGAGTGCTGGAATTACAGACATGCATCACCACACCCAGGATCCTTGCTTCTGACTAGGCAGAGTAGATAATAAACCTCCCTTTCTCACATGGACAAATCAAGTCCTAAGAGGGATCACCGTCCCGTGAGGAGTCAGAACTTGACCCCAGATCTTTTTACTACTGGCAATGTGTTTTAATTTACCATGTACATCAGTTCCTCGCTTGAAGAAAGGGCAGGGGAAGGAAGTGGGCTGTGGTAGTTGTCACTGACCACGTGACACTACCTACTGAATATCCAGGACTATGAAAAGTCACAACTCATGACTCCAGCATGGCAAGGGAACAATTGAAGATATAAATGGATCAGAAATCTCAGAATCTAACACACATGAGCCATACCAGGTCAATACACAGTCCCTGAGGTCTTGCTTGTCTCTGTTCAGAGTTGCTGGCCCACTGGGATTTGTTGGCACAAAGCAGTAAACCTGTACTCTCTTTGCCAGCTTGAGTGGAGATTCTGCTTTTCTGAGTATAGTTCTGAGCAATAAGCATGAGGTAGTTGACATACATCTTCAAGACCAGAGGGTCTGTGCTCTTGAGTCCTTGACAACACACGATCCATTCTGTACCACCAGGGAATGACAAGCTTATTTAAGTGGCCTTTTACTGGCAAGAATGTGGTGGGAGATGTCTCAATAGATGTCCTTTTGGAATGTTGTACTATGTGATTTTATTACCTATGCAAAAATGAATGCAATTACTTTTAAGAATGGCTCTTCTTCATGCCTTATTTGATTGGTGTGGAAACTGCTCGTACAGCTTTAATTGCAGTAATTGTAGCCCAAAGTTTCCTCCATAATTCATCAAGTCAATAAGGCTCTATTATGTATCCAACACTGTAAAACCATCAAACTGAGTACTTGACCTCTCACTTTTTAAGTGCAATACACTTTTGAAGTCTGGGCTTCCATATCAGTACTGTGAAGCGCTTGGTTAATTTAACAAAGCGTTGTTGGGAAGATTATCTTTAGACAAGGGTGTATCCTTCTAGTCCTTTTTTTTTTTTTTTGCAGTAGTGGGGTTAACTCAGGGCCTACACCTTGAGGTCATTCCACCAGCCCTTTTTGTGGTGGGTTTTTTGGAGCTAGGGTTTTGTGAACTATTTGCCCAGGGCAAACTGCTTGCCCAGGCTGGCTTCAAACTACAATCCTCCTGATCGCTACCTCCTGAATAAGTAGGGTCTTGTGAATTATTTGCCCAGTGCAAACTGTTTGCCCAGGCTGGCTTCAAACTACAATCCTCCTGATCACTACCTCCTGAATAAGCAGGATTATAGGTGTAAGCCACCAGCAGCTGGCTATCCTAGTCCTTTAGTTGTGAGTTTGGGGCTCCCAGACCTAAGCTAAAGTACCTCTTCCTTCTCCATCTTCCCACTAGTCTCCTCTCAGAAGATTCATTGGATTTAAAGTAGTAGACCCCATGCTAGATCAGGACTGCATGGAAATGAGTTTTCTGTTCACCTCTTTGGTGAGCTGTCAATCAATGCATAACCAAATTGCCCTCTTCCTCACTGCCACCCTGGTGACAATGTCTTTCAGGATGCTGATTTTAAATACATCAGCCTGACATTAGCTGTGTGCATTCACAAGGCCAACACAAAACTCCTGATTGGAACAAATGTCACTGAGACCCAGTGATCCCTTTTGCCCTGCTCTGTACTTATGTGGCAATTCTGGGGCACTTTGGCATACATAGGTTTTCCTCCTTACCTAAGCCAAATCACCTGAACCCCATCTTCCTGAACTTGCCTGGGTTTGCTAGCACTCATTTTGACTACCTTACCCCTCCCTGACTCCACCTAAATAACAGTCTCCTAGTGACCAAATGACACTTCAGCTGGCCAGGCTTGCTGTGTCCTGAAGCTTGGGTCACTCTTCTGTGGACTTGTCTTTCTTGCCCACTGACCTGAGGGGTTTATCAAGTCAAAGTGCCTATGACTTTTGCCTCTAGAATGACAAGTCTACTGCAGGGATTCAGAAGAAGGGGGACAGAAAAGGCACCACCATTTCTGTGTCTGGGAATGGGGGAGGTGAGTAGAGTCATGTGCAATTAGCGGATAATTAGCGCGGCTGACCCTTGCGGCTCATCAGCGCTCCTGGGGCCAGCCCCCAGCAATCAGCCAGGGCAGGTCGAGAGTGTCAGGCCCAGGAATGAATAGGGCTCATCAGCGGCGCTGGAGCCCGGGAGCCAATCAGGGAAATTAATAGCAGAAGAGAGGGAGAGAGCGAGGGAGGGAGACAGATAGACAAACAGACAAGAGATA